GCAGGTAACCATTGGATAATTAAATCTTTGAACGGGCCGGCACAAAGAAGGTCACCATATTTTTACAGTCTTTATGATTTTATTCAACCATAAAAATTCTTTTAACATTCTTGAAAAAGGAAAAAAAAAATTTAAAAAATAACCTTAAACATACCTTTATTTCCATATAACTTTTAGCATGTACTGTATAACTCTGCATACTTTTCAGTCAAAGGACCCTAAATAGTGAAAAGAGTTGTTTTGAACAAAATATAAGAAGGAAATTGAAAACTCGTCATGTCCTTTAGATATGCCATTTGACCACTATTACTGGCCCCCTGACTGATCAACAGCCCATCTATGGGTGTTCTGGTTAGCAAACTAATTAATCAGTCATAGATAAGTTAAAAATAATCAGTAGATTAAATTAGATTATCTTAATATCATGTGTAATGTCCATACAGTTTTTAATTATTCTTTCATCATGAAAACTTTTTTTTTCTGTGGGGGTAAGTAGAGATGCACTTTAATGATGCCTTTCTGCATGGAGTTTGCATGTTCTCCCTAGGCATGCAAAGGTTCTCTCCGGGTACTCTGGTTTCCTCCCACAGTCCAAAAACATGACTTTTAGGTTAATTGGCTTCTCTAAATTCCCCTTAAGTGTGAGTGTGTGCGTGAATGGCTGTTTGTCCTGTTTGTCTTTGTGTTCCCCTGCGATGGACTGGCAACCTGTTCAGGGTGTATCCCGCCTATCCCCTGTAGACAGCTGGAGATAGGCACCAGCAACCCTCGCGACCCCAGCAGGGATGAGGGTGACGGAAAAGGGATGAAGAGTATGGCTGCTGCTGCTGACAATGAAATTTCTGGTCTGAGCTCTTACACCAACCAAATCTGGTCAAGCTCCATCTACATGTGAAGGATTGAAGCTCTGGATGTATCAAAGCATGTCAATGTTGTTAGCAAAAACATTCTTGTAGCATTGTTTCTGAATGGTAAGCCATTGTTTTTAGTAGACTTGATGTGAAGTACCTATTTAAGAGTTTTGAAATAAGGCATTGAAATGGCCAAGGTTCCACTTCCTATTTCAAAAGGAGCATACCCCTCCAAGCTGTGGCTCCGGATTTTTTCTATTTACTTTTTACACTTTTATATTATTAGGTTTATTTGTACAAATCCTCTTTAGTCATTATACTTACAAAATACAAGACTTTCATTACAGACTTTCTGTTTACACTTACTCTGTTTCCATCCCTCTTCATCATGATCTGTTCTCTCCATTCCTCTCCTCCATCTGCACCTCTCTGTTTCACATTTTCCTTTGAAGTGATTAACTTGCCATGTCTGCCTGCACTAAATTTCCCAAAAGAACCCACTGAATAGGCGGATGGCAGGAATAAAAACCATACTGGGTATCTAGGTTTTAGTGGCCTCTCAAGTTAAATTATTCCTTCCTGATGTCATTGCTGCTCTCCTCTATAGCAGCTCCCATCACTGAGCACATGTCTGTCTCCTTCACCCCGAGCCTGTGTTCTTCTCTGCTAAGTCATATGCTTTAAATAAGCATAATCTAATAGCTTTAAATAAATTACACATCATGCTAATGCACTTTTTCAATATGGATAATATTGAAAAATTAATCATTTGGTATTAAGTGGCTGTTCCTACACTTCCATCTAATATTAGATTCCTGTATGTCCTAATTCTTTTTTCACTCTTCCTCTCACCTCTTTTCGTTAAGGAATTTAAAGAAAATAAGCCATATTAAAACAATTAATTTTTTTGTGTTAAACAGTTCCATCTTTTTTGAACATCATTTAATAATTAGAAACTGCATCTGATCAGACTCATCACTAAACAACTGCACTGCAATGTTATACCGAAACATATAAATTAAGTTTATCACTCAGTAGCTATATAATATATTTGTTTTATGATACAATGTCTAGTTAAATAAAGGATTACTTCCTATTCAACTAAATAACAACAAAGTTCCTCTTTTTTTATATACATGATCTGTAATATTGGTAAATACTGATCAGTACACAGTTGCAACAGTTATTAGTAGGGATGCTCGATATTGCCCTTTTTTTGCCGATATTCGACATGCCGATATTCCAAATGCTGAATTTTCGACTCCGATATAAGCCGATACCCGATATAAACTAATTTCACATCATGCCAGTCACAAAATTTAAGCATAACCTACATTTACTATGATTTCCCATTACACATTGTATATTCCAGAAATAATTACTATTGTAGAGAATAAAAAGAGTATTTCAACTTCAGGAAAATGCTAAATTTGACATTTATTTTCAACACTGTCTCAAACAACATTTTGGAATATGCTCCTTCTGAAATTACCCTGACAATGAATATTCAAACAAGAAATAAATCTCTTTCTTCACAAATAGGAAAAAAGTGTACCTCACCAGTACAGCTGTATTGCACAGAATTTAATGTAAACACAAATGAAGTCCAGGGTAGGATCCTGTTGAAGGACGAAGTCTTGGTTCCCCCACACATGACAAGGACCTCACATTCGTTGCAGATCGCAAACTTCAAGTCATTTGAAATGTTAAAAAAGTTCCACACCGCAGACATTTTTCGTTACAAGCAGTTTAGCTTCGCTGCTGCTACACATTTTGCAGTCTGGCGCGGTTTATATGAAGGTAAATATGTGCCAAAATGAACGAACTTAGGTTTAATGATGTCATCAGGGAGTGTCGCGTGTTGGCAAGAATGCTCGCTTCAACATATTTCGCAAAATCTAGGCATTATATTATCGGCTTTTAATTATCGGGGGGAAACCCGATAAGGATATAGACAGATATCACATAATTATGCTAATACCAGCCGATAATATCGACTCATAATATTGACCGGCCGATATTATCGGACATCTCTAGTTATTAGTCATTTAACTAGTTGTAGCTTAAGCTACCATAAATATTTACAACCCCAGACTCACATACCTTACCTACAGTATTTCAACCATTTTGAAAATCCCTTTTTTCCCTCCCTCTGACATCTTTATGCTCCTATTCTTTTTTCTGTTGTATGCTTCCTTAGAGGGGACCTGGAACAGCGGTGGGATTCATAATCAGTGATATGCCTTTGTTATTGATCACATCATTTACATATGCACAAACAGTGGCTGCTGCCTGCTTATAGTGTTATCGTAACCTTGGAGAAAACATAGAAACTTGAATAGACCAAGTCTGCATATCTACAAAACACTATATTTTTATCCCTTCTAATGTCTGTCACTGTTTTAATATAGAGTAAATGTAACTATAAGCACCGATTTCAATAAGCTAATGTGGAAAAAATACTGTCTCACAAACCTAGTTTTAAAGGGATTTTTATAGGCCAAGCATTTAAAAGGTAAACATTAAAAAATTGTGCAGTATACCTCTAGCTGACTTCCGTTTCTAACCTCGCATTATCTCAGCTCAACAGAAGCCTTTGACCTTCTGCCGAGCTCGAACACAAAGAAAACTCTTCAGGCCTTTGCCTTGAATCTTTCAAAATGCCTTCATGTTCAACAACCTCTTCAGAAGTCTTCATTCTCTTCTTTCTTCTCTTCATCTCATCAACTCCTCAGACGCTGTGTCTCATTGGTGCTTCCATTACAATGCGCAGGGTGCACAACCGCTCCATCTCCTAGTAATGGATTTCAAATGCTTTGACAATGATACATGTCACATGGTCATGCCTTCTGCCTTGGCAATATCTCTCTGTAAGCTGTTTAGAAATGCATGAATCTGCTCATTCGCTCCAACTCCCCATGCACAAAGTGCTTACTGCTCCTACCCCCACTCACCTCGGCTGTCATGCACAGTTAACCTGGTAAAGCTGTCGCTCTCATCCAGTCTCAACCTAAAGATGACGACATCCAAAAGCTTTTTGCACCTCTTTTCATTTTGGGGTGGTATGCATGTTAAAGTTTTTTTTCATACCTTTTTAGCAACAAATATAGCAGGAAATGTCAATACCTTTTTTTTCTAATTATTCACAAAATAAATCATCAATTTTATTTCAATTAAACCACCAGCAGAGTAGCGCTATCTCCTGATAAACACCTGGAGCCCCTTGAGAAATATCAGTCATTACACCCACTTAAACCTAATGCAGTCTCCTCTTGCAGAGAAGACAGTGTGATTCATGGTCAGGTTGACACACACGCACCCATAAAATTCATTTTCTGTGCAAGAATAGCGAAGATTAGCATCATCCAAAAATGTCAGTGCACCCTGTTACAAATGTGCCATGTTCCTAGAGACATTAGAAAAGTTTTAATCTCCATCACCATTCGTATCACTGTCATTTGCGCCCGTTGTAGAGATGTAAGCGAAATCCTTAAAATAAATGGTTGTTATGGAGACTATGCAATTTAAAAATGCAATTCTTTTCTGTAGTTTGGATATCTTTTTATGTGCATTAACCTCCTATTCACAGACAAGATAAACTGAGTTTCTGATCCAGCCTAGTTTTCCAAAGTTTTCTTTGTTTTATATTAACGTTTTTCTATAAAGATTTCCTGACCTATGAAGATCAATCCATAAATGCCTAACCAAATTTTATGTTCTCTTGTACTATTTCTAATAAGCAAAATAAAAAAAAATAAAATAAAAAAAATAGCCATATTTTCCCCTTAAGGAAGTCACAGCTTACTTATTAAACATTTACATATACCCTCAATAGCGTTTAATATGAATAATGATAATTTTTCAGTTATATGAACTCCAATACTTTTATAGGTGTCACCAGTAATCCTGCTGAATACAATTATGTTTTAACAGATTGTTACCACATCGGAATATACGTAATCAAGGGGCTTCACTTAAATAAAAAAATAAAAAAACTGTGCGATTATAATATTACAGTATATGATTAATCTATTTTAAGACTAAACATTTTTAATTGTGCTAATATGTTTCACTTTAAATAGCAGTCCTGTGCAATATAAAATTACAAAGACATAGCAAGTAGCAGAAATGTGTGAGATTTTATCTTACCTTTGGTGTTTTAGTACACTTTCCATTTCGGGCATCTTTTATATACGCAATATCCAGCAGGTCTGTATCCTGAAAAGGAGCAATAAAAGAAAAAAAACAAAAAGACAGATTAATACTTGGGAATACCAATTTGTTTTTTAACAGTTTAAGAGCAGTTTCAGAGAAGAAATAAATATCATATTCATTAAAAATACTAAGATCCAGCATGACTCCTAAAATCATCATAAGCGTGTCTGTTTGTGTGTAGATGAGTAAAGCTGTCAAATGTGTTTCACAAACATAGCTTGAAAATCCTAAAATATCCAACCATAATAGGGTAAAGAGTCTCTGCTTGGCACAGTCAGCCTTTACTTGAGTCACATTTCTCCTTAAATATGCCACAAAAGCAAAGAATGTTAAAGAAAGGGTACTAACCAGAGAAGAAGAAAAATAGGATTAAGATGCTAAATACTTTAAATATAAACAATATTTAGCTTCTGCCTTAAGATTGTAACATCTTAAAACAGCTTTTTAGGAGTCAGCTGTACGAGGTGTCGTTGATGATCCAGCTTTGATGATGTCAGCTTTAAATATAAGCCATACATTTGAATAAAAAAAGGTTACTCATGGTCCTGCCTTGAGGCCTCTTTACAGGGGGCTGTGTAATGAATAAAAACCTGCCCCACGACAATGGTTAGAGTTAAATACTCTGTCTGCTATATTTACTTTGAGCTCTTCTAACAGGTGGCTTTTTGTTGAAAACACATTGATTCTCTCTCAGTTTATACCAGAGGTCTATCAGAGGTTCTGAAATGGGGGCCAAATATTTTGCTTCCAACCTTTTCGCTATTGAAATATGGATAAATATGGAGGGTATGAAACCATGAAATAAAAAAAAATGTTTTTTTAAATTTCCAATTTAATAATAAACTGTAAATGCACCATAAAATAAAGGAGATTAAATTAATAGATGTTTCTTTCATTTAAACAAATTTAAATACGAATCCTATTATTTCTCTCCATATTCATTTAACCCATAGCTTTGGTGCAGCAGATTTTTTTTTTTTTTTTTTTTTTATTGCCTAATTGACCCATCAAACTTAGTGGGCAGGATTAAGGTGGCTTCTAGGTGGGTAAAAAATACCTTTTTTTGATTATTAAATTAGTTACCCATATATATTTAACCATCCTAAGTAATGTGATTAATTGTTTCTGCCAATGCTTTACACTTTTTAATTTGTTGAAATTGTCTTTTAAACAGTATGACTTGGTTCAGACATTATGGTGTCATTTCAGATGTTTCTTACATTTATGTAAGACTTTTGGTTCATTCCTCTGAACAAAGCTGATTCATATCAGAAGGTATTCCTACACTAGAGCTTGAAGCTTTGGAGATCAGGACTTTCTAATGCCTACTTCAAAAGGCTCTCTTTTTTTGTCTTAACCGTTTTGCTGCAGAGTTGGTCGTGATACTAGGGTCATTGTCCATTTGGAACCATTCAAGCCTAAAGTTTTATTTTAAGGCTCATGTCTTTAGATATTGATTCAGTATTTCCACATAATTTACTTTCTTCATAATACCATTTTATTGTTTGTAATGTACCACCTCCTCCAGCCGCAGCAATCTTCAAAATGACTGTGCATGATGTGCAACCACATCAGAACTGGGATGGTGTTCCCCATTCATTCTCCAAACAGCGCAGTTATTATAGCCAAGCTGGTTTATTTCAGACCATAACTTGTTTAAGTTTGATTCTTTGCAACATTCCATTCATTTTGTTGGCAGATAATAATTTGAATTCCCTTAAAAATTATTTTCATTTTGCAGGCTATAACTCAGTTACCAAACTTAAAAAACTGCCTGGATAATCAAAGATAAATATCAGTGACAATCTAAAAAAATAAAAATTATCTCCCATCATACTTGCATTGATGTATTTGTTGCATTTTCTGATTTCTAAATATACAAAGCATAAGCATTACAAATAGACAGATTTCAACTGTCCAGACAGCTGTTGGTACCTTGCATCAGTAAAACAGTCTGAGTTATCTTAACCATCATCTTTAAAAGAGAGGCAGGGCATGAGGTGGAAAATTAACTATAGTCAACCATGAGTTCCCTAGCATTATCTGAGGAGACAAGAGCCAACAGTGGCTTGACTCTATTTCTAGCCACAACGCGGTTATCTGATCAACTCTGTGTGTGGGTGGAAAATTGCACTTGACCGAACTTCCTTATCTGTTAATACATATATAGAGTGAAGGTTTCAATCAGCACATAATTTATAATGTGTATGTAATTTCCACATGTAAGTTTTTCAACCTGAAGGAAATGACAAACACAAACATGAAAATAAATAAAGGCATAATATTTTTTTCCCATCTTTTTTCCCATTCAAATATTGCATTTAAATAAACAGAAACAATACTGAATAACTAGATACATATTTTCAATCTACATAAAAAATATATAAAAAGACAAAACATCACAGAGAAAAAGTTTAAAGTTTGCTACTTTTTTATAGCCTGTGTAGCATCAATTAGGCTGTCCCTGTTTGTCTAGAAAGAGCCTTTGAGTCAAAGGTTAACACCTATACTGGGCCTGCCTTTCAAGTCTCTTTAGAGGGGTGAAGCTCCACATGGGTTCTTGGTGCAACTGTGGAGCTTCAGGAAGTATCTTGCTGACAGAGCTCTTTTTTGTGGCCTCTAGTCCTGTAGACTTAACACAGCTTTAATCTGGTTAAACGTCATCTGTTAAGCTATAAAGTAGACTTCTAAAGGAAATGCAGCTTGTTAGAAAGTCCTTGAGTGGATAATGGCTAAAATATTCTATGCACCACTTCCAGGATATCAGGCTTTAGTGTTTGATAACGGCTGTAAAACTCTACTAACTGTACTGATGTCAGAAACTAAATTTGAATGAATTTTCAGCTGGTTAATTGAAACTATTTTTCAAAACTAGTTGCTTAAACATTTTTTCCTGTAAGATGAGTTTCTTTTAACTTCTTTAGACATATGTTCTTCATTTCTTTCATCAAAGTCATCTCCTTATTCATCATTGTCCCTCTGCTCTCCTCATGTTCTCAGAGTTGCATTCATCTCTCGGGGGCCTTTCTGTGTGTAACAAAAAACAGTGAGCGAGGCTCCAAAGCCTATTAAGAACCACGGCACATCCAGGAAGCGAGCAGCGGCCAGCAGGGAGAGAAACAACAGAAATTAATGAACGTGCTTAACCTGCACTGGCCTCAGGCTCTGTTTTCCATGCCGCTTTGTGTCTGCACCGGTATGCAGCATTTGTAACAAGCTTCCTCCTAAAATGAAACACATTAAAAGTGCCAAGACCATTTCACCTGATTTGAGACAGAATGCTCCTTCTTGTCAGACACTTTGTGTATTTACAAACAGCTGGTGTAAGAAGTTTACATACACATGCAAGGCTTCCTCTACATTGATCTTTGCACAGCAAAATGAAAGCTGTCACAGCTTCAGGATTAAGATTGTTGCTCTTGTTGTTGTTCAATATGTTAATGCAACATAAAGATTATTATATATGTGTGCACATGTGCACACTTATAATAACCAGAATTTGAAATGAAATTAAGTATCATGTAATATTAAAATTTAGCAACACCTCTAGTTCCTGCCTGTCTTGCTGTGAAGCAAGACTTCGTGTTGGAAAACTAGAAAAGAAAGTCCAACGCTGTTGCCAAATTGTTTTAAAACTACTTACCACCGCAATACTGTATTCCAAAATTCAGTTCAATTCAAAACTACTTTATTACTTTATTAATTGCAAAGTGAAAATTAAATGTTATGGTAACTCATATGTTTTCTTACATATCAAAGTTGATTTTGGATGATGCAGACTAACAATAAGCTTCTGAAATTGCCCTATTCTAAATACTATTTAAAAAAAATTGTGATCTATGCTAAAATGTGGAAGCAGGTAACCACCTTAATTAAATCAGCTAAATTTTTGACAGCTAAAATGTTCAAATGAGCAGCCAGATTTAAATTAAGTTTGAAGGTAATTGCAAAGCACTCACTCAACGTCCCTAATGGATATTTAAACAAATTGTACTGGGTTATAAGTAGATATTTGAGCTCGCATATGCAGTTTTAAACTTAAACCTTAGCATACAACGCCAATAGTCCATTTCAATACCAGGATTGCTATGAAACTCATTCTTATAGAGATACAGAAAGTTTTCATCGACACTTTTATGTTAGACTGGAAGGTTTGATTGTTCATTATTCTTTTCCTGGATGGCTCAACTTTACATATTAGGAAGTTTGATGCAAATAATTTGCATCTGAGCAAAAACTAGAACAAGCTGCTTGTAAAAGAATGTTGTCTGGAAATCAAATGTTATCATGTAAGCCTGATAGTTTAATAAGAGGCCTTTGAGGTCACACGTTTTTGCAGCTTTAATTGTACGGGTGGTACAGGCACAAAGCAATGGGACAAATAATGGTATATAATGTAAAGAAAAGATGGAACAGAAGGGAAAAATCTAAATAAAGTAGGGAGGAAGACATCCATAGGTCAGCTTGCTCATTTGCCAGCAGCAAGCTTCACAGCCTGTGGGTTGAAAATGTACTCCACAGGGTTCAAAAGCTCTGCTAAGTAAAGAAACAGACAAGACACAAAGGCAGTGAGGGCAGGGGGAGGAAAAGGTGAAAAGAGAGAAAATTACGGGTTAGATCTCTGCTCCTGAGACAGTGTAGTAAGAAATATATGCTTCCGTCTCACTGGGTGTTCTAACACAGTAAATCAATTTGCATTGTTTTAATTTAAATTAAAATAAGTCTCTAATTGTACACATGGAATTATAAAAAATGCTATTATCCCTTCTCTAATGAATTTCTATAATTTTTATTCAGTCATTAGCTGGTGAAAACACATTTCATACAAAACTAAAATAACATGATGAGGTACCCTTAGTGCCCTGACCTCATTCCAAGGAACATAGAAATACTGTGTACATGAATTAGAACCACAGGGTTTTAGGGTTGCTGGGGTTTTGCTGTTTTGTCAGGTGGGAGTGAGCTTCCTGTCAGAGAGGATCTTTGTTGATGTCTGGACCGAT